CTCGGAAATTTTGGAGAAAGATTCAGTCACTTGTTTTGGGTCACTCGTGGACAATAGACCACATCGACCCTTTTTGAATCTACGTATATTAATTTTGCTGCTTCATTTAATTATCTGTCAGAAAAAAAAAAGAGTAGTACCTTAGACCTCGTACCATGAAGCAAAAATATTTTAGATCATTTTGAAAGTTTCCTCACGTTAAAGTTTGTTTATTCTGAAGAAATGCGGAGCGGGTGGACACTGACAAAGTAAACCAACAATGAACAATTTACAGTTACCAGGTATCATAATCTGCTGCTAAAAGGCAAAAACTACCGCTCATTTTTAGGAAACTGAGCTCAGTAACGTCATTGACAAATCTCGCTGCTCTCAATGTAGATTAAACAGTTGTATGAAGTTGTACGGCATGGCCTATGTTATTTGTTTGTGAGATCAATTTGAACGTTGATTATTACCAGGTTAGCAGTCCCCAATGTCCATTCAAAATTATAAAATTAATTTTACAAAGCTTTAGGTGCTAAAAATAGCACAACCTTTAAGTCGTCTAATTCGGAAATAAGGATTATAACTGCAGCACTTGAAAAATGATAATACCTTTGCAAAGTGCTGGTTCTTGATTTATGAACAAAAATAAATAACGCAAACAAATTATAAATAAAGTTGTTAGAATTAGAGCCAACTTCTGTTTTAACACCTGCGCTAGTGCTTCTCCTTGTTTACTACATTCTTGAGTATGCTGCCAACGAAGGTCCTAAATGTCGATAATATTAAAAAAATTTTGATGCTTGTTTTCAAGTTGCCATACTTGGAATTTTTACCATAAAAACAACAGTAATGATAAAAAAGAAGTAGAAATAATACTAAATAGAGCTTGACAGTTCCCTTTACAATTCCTGGCTGGAAGCCGCGTGAAAAGCCACTGCCGTTTCCCCGCCTGATACAAAATTTTTAAAACTGTAAATATGGTTTAAAATAGATTTCAAAAAATTGCCATTAGTCTTATTATATTATGTTATCATAAATGTAATGTTGATATAGTCTTTAAACATGATGTTACTTGTTTATTTCCGATTCCACTTAGAAGGCGTTTCTTGACTAAATATCTAAAAAAAAATTTTTGTTTTGAGGCTTCTGCGGTAGTCACAGACTTCAGCATGAAATCGTGCATTCTAAATTAGTTTATAAACAGTGTTTGGGGTTGGTCTTTTTGGTGGAGGCAAATATTTGGCATATAAACCAACGCAACAGTCTACCAAACAACAACACCGATCGGTCGACTGGTACAGTGGAGCAGCGCATTTCAAATGAATTTTAAAAAGTGAATAGAAATGGGCAAGAATGTTTTGACGGTTTTGTAAAAACTCATTACATCGAAGCCTCACAAAAAACTACGTTTAAAACCTCTATGAGAGGATCAAAAAACAAATTAAAAAAAGTCTAAAATGATCTGGTAGTGGCAGTAATAAGAATCTGTTTTCAAAAACAACTTTTTTGACGACATTAATATTGATGGCTTCTAAGTTGGACAGCTTTCAAGATAATGTATCCACCGTAAAAAAAAAAA